ATTACAGGCTGAGCCACCGAGCCTGGCCAGAGTAGAGTTTTTAAACCTGAATTTCTGGGTCAGGATGCTAAAACCATAATTAGTAAATTGAGTTCTTAATTTAAAAGGGGGGCAGGGGCTGGGCATGGTGGCTCAAGCCTGTAATCCCAGCACTTTGGTTGGCTGAGGTGAAGGGACTGCCTGAGCCCATGGATTTGAGAACAGCCTGGGCAACTTAGCAAGGCCTCATCTCTACAATAAATCACAAAATTAGCCGGGCATGGTAGCACATACCTATAGTTTTGACTACTTGGAAGGCTGAGGAGGAAGGATCACCTGAGCCTAGGAGGTTGACACTGGGGTGTCTCTGAGTATGCCACCTGTACACCCGCCTGGGCAATGGAATGAGATTCCAACTCAAAAAAGTAAATAAATAAATAAAAGGCAGGGGGTGGGGGCAGGGAGAAAGGAAGGAGAGGGAAGGGTAAGGAAGGAGGGGGAAGGGGGGAAGGAAAGAGGAAGGGACAAGAGGGAGGAGGAGGGAGGGAGGCCTCAGCCACATACTCCAGATGATATGTAGCTCTATATAATCAGGCATTTTGCCATAGCAATACATTAACATTTGTGTTAATGGGTTAAATTATGGGGTAGAGAGTTCTTGGCCAGGTAGTCAATTTCTAACATTAGTAACTAATTGATTCCACTGCTTCATGCTCCTTGCCACTTCTTTCTGTACCATCTAGGTCTTGATAAGATGATCTGAAGTGATATTTCTACTTCAGCATAATTCAAATAAAACATCACTAAATACATTTTTGTTTTGTAAATGTAACTATTTTGTTTCTACTCTTACATATTCAATAGCCAAAATGAAAAAACCCTAGAAAAAAGTACAATCCCTTGAAAGCTTCAGAAGTATACTCACCTAGTAGGCAAATACAGGCCAGTTTTAAAACTTCCAAATATCTGAACCTGAAATAGAAAAAGTTATTACACTGAGGTATCAGATTTTATTATAGTCGCCAAGCTATGGGGAAATGCCAGGTTTTGCTACCCTCTCCTGGTACTTTTTAGTACTGCAAGAACATTCTTTTTTTCATGAAGTGCAAATTCTGTTTTCACAAGCCAACATTCAGAATATAATTGAAATTTATCAGGTTCAAATATGACACATAAACTAAAATACAGCTGTCCCTTGGTATCCAAAGGAGACTGGTTTCAGTTCCCCCTCTCCAAATCCAAGAATGCCCAAGTCCTTGGTATAAAATGACACAGTATTGGCATACAACATATAAAAATCCCTCCTTATACTTTAAGTCATCTTTAGAGTACTTACAATACCTAATGCCATGTAAAATGCTATGGAAAAACTTACTATACTGTATTTTTTATATGCATTATTTTTTATTGGTCTATTTTTATTCCCCCCCCCCTTTATGATCCTTGATTGGTTGGATATGGGGCATGGAGCTTGTGGACAAAAAGGGCAACCTAAGAAAACTTTCAAAAGGATCCATTCAGGTCACTAACGCTCCCTTGTAATACAGAGGCAAATCGTTAAGGATTGTTCCCTAAGAGGAGTCTTCTCACAGATCATGAAGTTAGGGTCAGACTACTTCAATTGCAGGCCAAGTGCTGGCCTAAGGTCAACTCCACAGAAAACACCAGGCACTGTCACCGTAACATCATGCAGCATACAACCCAACATACCCATCTCACCCTGTGGAAACAGTGGAACTCGGGCAGGTATGTGCACGTACGCAATTGTAATCCAGAAGAAACCATAAAAAAGCTCCAGCTTTCGGGTGATATGGATCCAAGAACCTAACCACAACCCCATGTTCCTCATATATAAAAAAATATGAGAATCCCCTACCTCAGAAGGATGAGGTTTAATTTAGACCAGGACTTCTCAGCCCTAGCACTGTGGCCATTTGTGATGGATAATTCTTTGGTGGGAAGAGCTATATCATTCCCAGGATGATGAGTGGCACTGACATCTCTACCCACTGGATGCAGCAGTGCTTCCACAATCATGACAATCAAAAATGTCTGCGGCATTGCCGAATGCCCCCTGGAGTGCAAAGTCACTCTCAGTTGAAAGCCACTAACTTAGATGACACTGGAGAAACCATACGGCGTGTGGTAGCTTTTCAATAAACAGCAGTGTCCTTCCCTCTTCCCTTTACCTCATCATATTCAAAACTTCTTTGTAGCTTCACACCTATAATACCAGCACTTTGGCAGGCAGAGGCAAGAGGATTGCCTGAGCCCACTGGTTCAAGACCAGCTTGGGTAATTTGGCAAGACCTCGTCTCTACAATTAATAAAAAAAAAAAAATTAGCTGGGCAAGGTGGCATGCACCTGTAGTTCCAGATACTTGGAAGGCTAAACCCAGCAGGTCAAGGCTGCAGTGACTGTGAGTGTGCCATTGCACTCCAGCCTGGGTGACAGAGTGAGACTCCTACTAAAAAACAAAACAAAACAAAAACCTTCTTTGTTTTGCCACCTGGACAAAAACCTTCCCTAGCTTTCCCTCCACCACTCTAGGACAGAGTCTAATACACAGTAATGGACTCTAATAAATAACTTCTTTGAATGTAAAAAATTGTAGAATAGACCCACAAAGGAGCCCTAAAAAGTGAAATATTAACTTAGTACCAATCCTGGGCAAACAGTTTGCTTACTGAGTGGGAGCTGTACTGGGAGACAAGGAGCTGGTCTGAGGGGAAAAGAAAAATAGCAGCTTCAAGAAAGGGATGAAAGAGACTCATGCCTCTGCCTGCATTAACCCGAGCAGATAACTTCAGGAGATGATTCCTACCTACCTGACATTTTCATTGAGTTATAAACAATTACATACACAATGCTTACACTGGCAGGTTGGAGCAAAATAGCAGTGAGACTCCCATATACCACCTCCCTTAATAGACCACTATAGCAAGGCTGTGTCTGTCGTTCTTCTCCTTATACTAATGACTCCTCAGTACAGTTTGTTTTCCATAGTTGCTATTAGCACTGCCCAAAAAAATTTTTAAGCAAATCATCTGATTCAATGAAAATAATCAAGAAGACCCACACTCTAAAGGCTGCAGAAAACTGTTTGCCTTTAAAATGTAATGAGCCTGCAGTTCTCCAGAAGCACTTTCAATCGCATTGGAGCACTGCATGGGAGAAAGTAACAGACCAGTCTCCTTCCAGGATGAGGAATACCCCGAGCACAGCCACCTTGGCAGGTACTCACGTCAGCACTGGGCCAAAGCTCCTTGATCACACTCTCGATCCTATTCACCACCTCCATCCGCATTTTCTCCTCCTCAGGCCTTGGAGACATGTATTCATAAAAATCACTGATCTCCTCATGCAGACTGAAGAAGAAGCAGAAAAGTTAACACAAGCAGGCCAACCTAATGAGAAATCACTATCTTATATAATCTTAAATAATTAAGTCTTACAAGATAATTCCACTGATGACTTTACAGTCATAGGTTTTTATCTTAATTTTAATGCTATAACTCATGCTAAGTTAAAATGGGGATACACCAAATTTAATCAAAAAAGTCAAAATAGTTAAATAAAATAATAAATTCCCTCTGCAGAACACTTGTTGGGAGCTGGTGATTAACGATTAAAAAAAACAAAACAAAACCATGGGGCCTGGTCTCTGCCTTCCCACTTCTGACCCAATAGACATAACACAAGAAGATATCGAATCTAGGTGACGCAGGCAAAGCTTTCTGGCAGTGAGGACTGACCCTCCTACCTCTTGGGAATCCATTTCTCACAGTGAGCACACAGTACACTTTTCATAACATTTGCTTAGTGAGTTGTCAAATGAACAAGCTGGCCAGTGAACACCAGCAGAGTCTTGAAAAGAATGGCTGGCAGACAAGGGATCCATGAAGGAGCCGAAGACTTCCAGAGACCAGGAAGAACGAGGCAACCAGCCAGCTGCATGAATTGTGACAGGCGAAAGAGTAGGAGAAGCATCTGGAAAGGATGGCAGGCCCCGGTAGAAGGCAGGCTTTGAATGGCGAGCTAAGAAGTTCAGGTTTTCCCTTGTGGTCACAGGGAGCTATTTAAATGTTTCTAACAGGGTCTAGGGTGAGACCAACTTCAAAAGCAGCATTTTAAGAAGATTAAACTGGAACTGTGCAAACAATGGATCAGCAAAGGGATCAGACTGGTTGCAGGAAGAACAGGTCCTAAATCAATGAGCTGCAGCAGGCCTGGATGAAGGCCTGGAGAATGGTGGTAAAAAGGAATGGGCTCCAGGAACATCATACACACAGACACACACACACAGTGGCCAGGTGCAGACCAGCAAGAAGCTGGAGGACTAAGGAGTTTTCCAGGGCTGAAGCCTGAGGGAATGGTCAGGATAAAAAAACAAAGTCACTGGACTGGGCAATGATTTGAATGCAGTCAACACTGTAGGACAATACTGTAGGACAGAGAAGATGAAAGCAGCGCTTCGAAGCTGGTAAGACTGCCTGAGAAGGGAAAGTGAAAGGACATGGAAGGAAACGTAAAAAGGAGTATGATAGAAGTGGTCTGCTCCACTTCTCTTGAGCACTGATCACTCGTGAGGCCGAGGTTCCATGTCAGGGAGGAAGGCTGGAGTGAGGCGATCTCGGGGTTCCCACAGCCTCTCCTGAATGGGACAAACCAAGAGGCCAAGACAAAGATGCTTGGAGCAATGGGTGTCAAGTGTCATGGGAGCACAGGGAGCAGGGAGCTGGACACTTTAACAGAGCCTTGAAGGAAAAGTGTGCCTGCATCTGCACAGAAGCTGGAAACGCTGGGACACCAAAAGTAGTCTCAGGGAAGGAATCCCCATTCCTGCTGGCTACAATTTGCTACATGAAACTCTGGAAACTTTGGGAATATGACTGATGAGCAATCAATAATTCCTGCCTCTTCTGATGTTTTTAGACTGAGTCAAAAAACTCGAGTTCTAGACTCAGGCTCTGCCTGAGGCTAGCTGCATTCCCTCTGACAAGTGACTGGCACTTTCAGGCCTCAGTGTGCCCAGGCACAACATAGAGGCTGGCAAGTATATGTCTCCCAGGCCCTAAGTTTCAAGACCTGGGCCTTTGGTAAAGGATGCTTTATGATGGCATTCTGCCTGTTTGCTGTGCGACACTGCAAAAGTGGGTTGTAAACCCCAGAGAGGCCAGAAGACATCCCAGTGGAATTGTTTTCCTTCTTAGGATCTTCACCTTCTCTTTGGGGTTTTTTAAGCTCCCCAGATCTAAACCCATTCTCTAAGGTTACCTATGTCCTTCTGCTTCTTACAGGCAACAGCTAAAAGGAAACAGCTGCTAGAGAGTTTCCAGCTTGCCTTGCTCTTCTGCACAGGCCTGTTGGCAAGGATGAGGGCCACGAATACACAGCAAAACAAATGGATTGCTTCTCAGCTCACTTGCATAGTTGGCTAGGAATGATCAGAGTTCATTTGCAGCTCTAAAATAGATGTCTAACAGAAAAACTTCATTCTGACCAATGAGGGGGGTACCGCTGAAATTTGACTGCATCTACTATAAAGGCCCTTTATATATTTTATAATTCAAATAAAGGCAAAAATATATTTAGCCCATCTGCCAGTCAATCTTTAAGAATAAGAAATTGACTAGGAACTCATTCTCTAGGCCAGGCATGGTGGCACTAAACATTACTGGAATGCCTCTGTTCAAGGCATTAGGAGGAACTGGTTCATCAAACATGATCCTTACCCTGAGTCATTTCCATCTAGAAATGAAGGAAACACTCATTTAAAGTAGTTTTGTGGGGAGACAGTCCACAGAATGGGAAGAATGTTTGCCAACTATATATCTGACAAAGGCCTAACATACAGAATCTACAAGGAACTCAAACGCGCCAAAAGAAAAGAAACAAACAGCCCCATTCAAAAATGGGCAAAAGACATGTATAGACACTTCTCAAAAGAAGATATATGGGCAGCCAACAGACACATGAAAAAGTGCTCAGCCTCACTAATCATCAGAGAAATGCAAATCAAAACCACATTGAGATACCACCTAACCCCAGTAAGAATGGCCATCATTAATAAAACAACCACAGATGCTGGCAAGGATGCGGAGAAAAAGGAACACTTCTACACTGCTGGTGGGAATGCAAACTAGTGCAAACTCTTTGACCTTCCATGTGATCCAGCAAACCCCCTGTAGGGAATATTCCCAGAGGAACTCAAATCATTCTACAAAAAAGATACCTGCTCACGCATGTTTGTTGCAGCTCTATTCACAATAGCAAAAGCATGGAACCAACCATGCTGCACATCGAAGGTGGACTGGATTAAAAAATGTGACACACATACACAATGGAATATTATACAGCCATAAAGAAGGACAAACATATGAACTTTTCAGCAACGTGGATGGATTTAGAGTCTATCATACTCAGTCATCTATCACAGAAACAAAGAACAGAGTTCCATATGTTCTCATTCATAAGCAGACCTTGAACAATTATCATAACACTATAAGAAAGGGATTGGCAGTAGTGGGAAACTGTCAGGGGAGGAGGGATGGGATTGGCAGTTGAGGGGAAACTACCAGGGAAGGGAGGGACACACCTCAACAAGGGTACCTGCATAATGAACATTTGTATACCTAACCCTGAATTGTACCCCACATCTTTAAAATAAAATTTTTAAATTAGAAAAAAAATAAAATAAAATAAAGTAGTTTTGTGGTGTGTGCAGTATGCATGTTCTAATACTGTTCCGCCATACGCAGGTTCCATTTGAATGATCCAGAGCTTTCCAATGATCAGAATGGACTGGGTTGCCTTGCAGGGCAGAGAAGTCCCCATCATTACAAGCATAAATAACCTAAATGACTATGAGGCAAACAAAGGTCCCATAAAAGAGATTTCTGAAGTTAGTGGGAAGTTGGAGAAGATTCTGAAATTCACTTTCAATGCTGGAATTCTAGGCTTCTATTTAGCAAATTAATTTGGGGAAATTATTATAGGTTTATAAGACAATTTCTTTTTTTAAAAGTCAAGGTCTTACTCTGTTGCTCAGGCTGGAGTACAGCGGCATGATCATGACAATCATGTTTCACTGCAGCCTTAACCTCCTGGGCTCAGACAATCCTTCTGCCTCAGCATCGAGATGGGACTATAGGCACCCACCAACACACCTGGCTAATTTTTCTGACTTTTTTTGTAGAGACGAGGTTTCACTATGTTGCCCAGGCAGATCTCAAACTCCTGGGTTCAAGCAATCCACCTGCCTCAGCCTCCTAAAGTGCTGGGGTTACAGGCGTGAGGCACTGTGCCCAGTTTATAAAACAAGATCTTAAAACAAGACTACCCTAAACAGGTAGTAGTCCATGACACCTCTTCCTATTGAAGGAAAAACAGTTCTATAGGTATTATATTTCTCTGATTGGTGTATATCTGCAATGATGGAAGGGGGAAAGAGAAATAAGGAAAAAAGGAGGACTACTAAAACAAAATTTGAACAATAGAAATAGGAGACCCCATTTCTGCCAGGACCATCTTCTCATCCACACCAAACACAAACATCCCTCTCTCACCTGTAGGTAACTAGCTGCCCCGCATAGTGACAGAACACACCAGTACACGTTGGGAAGTGACTGCAAGCCCAGCACAGGGTGCATAATGAGTTTCTGTTGGGACCTGATTCATGCTTCCTAGCTGCATGTGAGTGTAAAATGCTTAGAAAACACCTAGGTAAAAAATACAGGTACATTCGGGAAAGAAACTGCAAGTACAGATTTTTTTTTTTTTTTTTGAGTTGGAGTCTCACTCCGTCACTCAGACTAGAGTACAGTGGCACACTCACAGCCATCCCAATGTCAACCCACTGGGCTCAGGCAGTCCTTCCACCTCAGCCTTCCAAGTAGCTGGAACTACAGGTGCACACTATCACACCCAGCTAATTTTTTTATTTATTTTAAAGATGAGGTCTCACCAAGTTACCCAGGCTGGTCTCCAACCTGTGGGCTCAGGCAATCCTCTCACCTCAGCCTCCCAAAGTGCTGGGATTATAGGCTTGAGCCACCATGGCTGTAAGTATAGATTTTAAGATAATTCTGGGGGCGGGTGTGACAGCTCACGCCTATAATCCCTGCACTTTGGGAAGCCGAGGTGAGAGAATTGTCTGAGCCCACGGGTTTGAGACCAGCCTGGGCAACTTGGTGAGACCTCATCTCTACAGTAAATCAAAAAAATTAGCCAGGTGTGGTGGCTCACACCTGTAGTTCCAGCTACTCGGAAGGCTGAGGCAGAAGCCCAGTAGGTTGAGGCTGCAGTGGCCGTAAGCACGCCACTGCACTCCAGCCTGGGTGACAGAGTGAGACTCTGACTAAAAAAAAAAAAAAAAAAGATAATTCTGACAGGCTCTATCCCTGTGCACCATATAATTTTACTGACATTGTGACTTGCAATGTAGGTGCTTAAAAAATGCTAAAGGACCTACATTCCGATTTTGGAGTGCCCACGACATGCCTGGTGTATGTTTGAACATGGTGAACACCTGAGGAATACTGTAGGCTTCCTTTCACATGTTAAAGTCACTTTATGCCTCTGAAAGCATCTGATGCACAGAGAAAACGTAATACCATTCTTTAGTAGGTACTGTTGAACACCACACACCCAGCCTTAGAGTTTTTTGTGTGAAATTATGAAATACAACACTTCTGCGATCTGAACTCACAATGACTAACATATAGTGCCCTCTATTAGGATAGCAATGTTTTCTTTCTAAAAGGAAAAATAAACAAGAAAACCCACCACTCTTTGCTTATAAAAGAAATATAATATAAAAACAATATGATGAAAGAAATGCCACTATACAACTGGAAAGATGCCAAAAAAAAAGAGAGAAGTGAAACTAATTGGCTGAAGTAAAATACACATTAATCTCAGAATTATTTAAAAAAATGTAATGTGACAAAGAGAAGATGTTCCAAAAAGTTTCCATGTTTTAAAATAAGTACAATTCACAAATAATTTAGGTCAAAATAGAGACATTTAAAAAATCACTTTTGTTCTGACAAAAGCCCTGCTACAACGGAGAAATGCTGGTCTCTCAAAATTTTATGAAAGCCCATCATGGTGGGAGGCATAAAGACCTGACCCGCAAAGGCTCCTTTTCTTTGGCTGTAAAAGGGAAGAACTTACTTTACATCCTTTCAGCTAGGCCACCCTGGACGGGAGGTAGGTTGCTTAAGAGTTCCACATCCTCAAAACCAGAGGCAAGATAGTACCTACCCCCCTATGCCTCCCAGGTCAAGGCAGGCGGAAGACCCACCATGGGCCCCCCTGCTCAACACTGTCCTCTGCAGTTCATCCAAGCATCTGTTTAGGGAGTGACATTGCTCCCTGGGAGATACCTGCCCAACATTAACCGGCCCCCCAACCCCCACCCATCCCACATAGAACAGGATCTGTTTACCACACTGTTAAAAGTGATTAAATTTGTGGGGGGGGGTGATTTTTTAAAAATGTATACACCTATATAGTCTACCTTTTAGAAATGATAACATATCAATTACCATTGTATATTTTTAATACAAGAAAAAATATTCATTAGAGAAAACTAACACGCCAAAGCAGAAAGATTCAACTAACAATCAATCCTGAAGAACAAATGGTTCCACATCTTGAAAGTGGGCAGCCTGGGCAACTGTGGAAGGGACTCAGTGGTTGGCCCATGGGCAATACTGAAAACAAGAGGTCAGAAAGACCCCCAAGCCCAGTAACAGGACACATGCAGTAACAGAACACATCAGTACACACTGGGAAGTGACTGCAAGCCCAGTGCAGGATGCATAATGAGTTTCTGTTGGGACCTGACTCATGCTTCCTAGCAAGTTATACACTCTGATGTATGCATATGCAAGACAAATTTCTGGAAGGATACACACCAACTGTTGGCAGGGCTTTTCTCTGGGGTAGTACCAGGTCTGAGGTGGCAGGGATTTATACTCTTTTGTATTATTTGATTTTTCTCAGACCTGCATAGGCATCAAGAGAAGTGACTCAAGACCCTGGGGCAATGGCAGTGTGATCTGAGTGACATCTTCAGGAGGCTGCAGAATTGATCTTTAACAGGAAACTGTCATGCACATACCCAGCCTCCTGTACTTCCAGCTATCAGCCAGATACCTCAGAGATGACACCTCAAGATGTCACCTCCAGCTCGACAAGTCCAAAACAAAATTCCCTGTCATCCCCCTAAATCTACTCCTACTGGTTTGTATTCCTTCCCCAAGTTATTGTTTCCCTAGATGGAAACTTCAGTCTTCCTCAGTTCACCCTTCTTCGTCCTCTGGAATAAGGGGTCTCCAAATCATTCTCTACCAAAAGCCAAAACAAACACTCCAAATCAGACCTCACCCCTCCATCGTCCCTGTTCCTGCTCTGAGTTCAAGTCCTTTTTTCTCAGTAGAACACAGCGGCAGACTAAAAAATGTCTCCCTGTCACTGGTCTAGACCAACCTGCTGAGCATGGGGTCCCCTCCCTCAGCCTATCTGTATCACCTCCACATTTCTTGGTGGAGTACTGCCTCACTTCTGGCCTCTCTTTCAACTCCTCTTCTCCCAGGACAGTCCCACAGAACTGGGTCGGAACATGCCATGCCTCTTCAGGAATGGGCCTTGCACAGGCAGGCCCTGCCTGGAATACCCACTTACTCAGCCTCGGAGAGCTCAAATATCACCTCCCCTGGAAAATTCCCTGAAACAGAATGACCTGAGAGGCTCCTGCAGTGCTCGTGGAGCAAGGAAGGCCAGGCCAGCCTTCCCAGTCAGTACCAGCGATCACATGCCTACAGGTGTCCCCACTCAGACTCAACTCTTCATGCTTCAGCAGTTTGTGCCCACACCAAGGGTTAGCACAGAGAAGCACAGCCTTAGAAAGGGACTCTCTGCTCATGAGGGACATCTACCCACACCCATGTCCACACGGTCACAAAAAGGAGACAACATTCCTTAAATGAGTTCCACACCAGGATTGAGGAAAACGATGCACACACACTGTGAGTGAGAGCTGACAGAGCAAGAAAGGAGGGCGTTTGGTCCGAGAACTGTTGAGGTCCTTTGTAGTCAAAGGAGGCAATGCCACGTTTCAGCAGAGAGACTCAGGAAGCAAGTCTGCATGTGCACAGACAGGGCTAGAAGAAAACATCCACAGGGAACCTGTCATTATCCTTAAAAAGTCAAGACTTCGAATATGAAATGCCCCAGTGGCTTTTATTATAAGGTTTAAAATATGAAATGTACGATGTGTCTAACTTTCTACAGTATGAGGAGGATACACGGTCACTTGAAAAAAACCAGGTCTAAATAGGAAGATCTCAGTTCCAAAGTTGCAAGAAAAAAGCCCTCTCTCTTTCTTCTATTCATGGACAAGAAATGTATTTACTCCCCCCAAATAATTCTCACTATATCCCAAGGTTTAAAAAAACAAGGGAGAGAGAAAATACAAACATCAATGTAAGATTAATTAAAAGGAAAAAGAGAGCACCCACATATCTTCCTTTAAAGAACACTGCAGGTATTTACAAATTATTCACAGTTAAGGAATGCTGTATTTGCTGTGTTAACTCCTCCTTGGTCAGGACACGAGAGTAAAAGCAGAGAACGGATCCTTGTCTGTGTGTTCTAAATTACATAGCTTTCATTTTTTTCTTCCTTTAAGAGGTGCTCGTACCTGCTTTCCTAGAAATGAGAGCATTCCTTGTGAATGCCATCTCCAGCTGCACTCAATTTCTGGACTATGGTTTTTAGGCCAATGTTTCCGAAGGATGGTTTTCAGCTGACATCCTCTCATCCCTTCCTCCTCTCAATGAAGAGAGATCATGAAAACCAACTGATTCTTCTCCAGGCCTCTTTTGCCGCCCAATCTGGCCACTACTTCAACCGATTTATAAGGAAAAGAGAAAAGAAAGCGTTACCAAAGAGTTCCTTTCTCTAACTCTTGTCGACAATTCTTTCCCTTTCCAATAAAAATTCTGAACTCTCCCAAGCACTGTTAAGTCGCCCTGACCACACCTGGGTCAAGTCAGAAAGCCTACAGAAGAAAGGGTATTCCCCAATTAGGATCAAACACCTTTAAACAAGAGCCTCATTAACAAATTTACTCCACAAATGGAAGGCTCTCAAATATCTGAGTAAAACACACAAATGCCAGTAAGAAGTGTGTTATATTCTTAAATATAATAATGACATATGGATGTGTTTAACCCACACAATCCTAATACCAAAACTTCATTTTTATGTATTTATTTTATTTACATGTATTTGGTGGAGGGACTGGTGTTTAAGAATAGTCACTGCACTGTAAATATACAACCACGTGTAACATCTTTCCCTATGTTAGAGTACAGGTAAAAGAAGTAAAGAACTGCCAGGCATGGTGGCTCACGCCTGTAATCGTAGCACTTTGGGAGGTAGAGGCAAGAAGATTGCCTGAATCCAGGGGGTCAAGATCAGCCTGGGCAACTTGACGATACCTCGTCTCTACAATAAATCAAAAAATTAGCCTGGCATTGTAGCACACGCCTGTAGTTCCAGCTACTTGGAAGGCTGAGGTGGCAGGATCGCTTTGAGCCCAGCAGGTTGAGACTGTGGTGGCCATGAGTGTGCCACTGCACTCCACTCCAGCCTCAGCAACAGAGACTCCTACTTAAAAAAAAAAAAAAAAAAAAAGAAGCACAGAACCACCATCGGGATTCACTTTCAAGGACCTCTACACATGAAAATCTCAATATCCAAAACATATTAGACTGATTATTTGCTTAATAAATAATTTATGTTAAAGAGAACAAGCTCTAAATGCATATTCAAGATATCTTAACTATTAATAGTGATTACCTTGGATAATAGAACTGGGAACAAGACTAATTTAGAGAAAAGCTTACATAGGCCAAGTGCAGAGGCTCACACCCATAATCCTAGCACTTTGAGAGGCCAAAGAGAGAGGACTGCTTGAGGAGTTCAAGACCATCCTGGGCAATTTAATATTTTTCTACATTGTTGAAATCTTTTGGATAAGTGCTGGTATTATTTAAGGAATTTTTAAAAGAAAAAAAAAAACAGGTCAGGTGTGGTGGTTCATGCCTGCAATCCCAGCACTTTGGGAGGCCAAGAAGAGAGGACTACTTGAGCCCAGGAGTTTGAGATCAGTCTAGGAAACACAGCAAGACTTCACCTCTACAAAAATATAAAAAACTGGTCAGGCATGGTGGTGCGTCCATGTAGTCCCAGCTACTCAGAAGGTTGAGGGAGGATTCCTTGAGCACTAAAGTTCAAGGTTGCAGTAAGCTGTGATTGTGCCACTGCACTCCAGCCTGACTGACAGAGTGAGACTCAGACTCAAAAAAGGAAAAACAATAGAAGACTGGAATTATCAACAACTGCACCCCCTTTTCCTCCCATTGCACAAATGAAACCAACTCCAAAAAAGAATCCGAGCTGGAGAGAGACAGAGCAACTGAGCCACCTCTGGAGTCCCTGAAGCAACTATCACCCAGAGCATCGCTGGTACTTGGAAAAACAAATGCCTTAGTCTGGTTTTTGCTTAAGCCGTAAGCCGTTATGAGGTAAAGAACCTTGCCCTGAAAGCCTTCTGATTCGCACGCCTTTGATTATCTATACTCTCGTGTATAATTATTGTGTATGTATGATATTAGGCTCTCTTTTCAGATCTACGGGTATTTCTGTCTATTCTAGGGCTCAAATTACCCTTTAAAATTCTTGTATAGATCCATAAATAGTTGATAGTACAAAACCAATTGTTTCCCAAATTTATCTTTAGTTTTCAAAAATATTCTTGTCTATTTCTGTCTGTTTATTCTTCCAGATGTGCTTCAGAATCATTTTAACAGGCTACACATTCAGCATACAAAAACAAACAAACAAAAAAGTTACTTTCCCAATCATTCCCCCCAAAATTCAGTGGGATTTTTATTTAAATTACATTAATGAGAACAGGAGCCATGGCTCATGGGTGTAATCCCAGCACTTTGGCAGGAGGACTGCCTGACCCCAGGAGTTCAAGACCAGCCTGGGCAACCCAGCAAGACACTGTCTATCAAAAAAAAATTTTAAATTTAAAAAAAAGAAAAGCCAGACGTGGTGGCATGTGTCTGTAGTCCCAGCTACTGGGGAGTCTGAGGTAGGACTACCTGTCACCCAGGCTGTGGTGAGCTGTGATCATGCCACTGCACTCCAGCCTGGGCAACTGACTCAAAAAAAAAATTATATTAATTAACAAATAAATGAGTTGATACAACATCTTCAAGTTTTTTATGCTACCCACTGTAAATTCTCTTTCTTCACCTTGGTAGCTTTGTTTCTAAATAATGTCGGGGTTTTGATGCTCTAGTAAGTGAACCTTTTGTTTCTTTTTTAAGAGTTTATTTTCTGCTTTTTCAGTTTTTGGCTCCACGGAGGCCAAGGTGCAATTTTCTTCGATCTTCCCGAATCCAGGTTCATCCGACACCAGCTGCCTCCACGATGCCACCCAAGTTCGACCCCAATGAGATCAAAGTCATGTACTTGAGGTGCACTGGGGGTGAGGTCGGCACCACATCTGCGCTGGCCCCCAAGATCGGCCCCCGGGGTCTGTCTCCAAAAAAGGTTGGTGATGACATCGCCAAGGTAACCGGTGACTGGAAAGGTCTGAGGAGTACAGTGAAACTGACCATTCAGAACAGACAGGTCCAGACTGAGGTGGTACCTTCTGCCTCTGCCCTGATCATCAAAGACCTCAAGGAACCACCAAGAGACAGAAAGAAACAGAAGAACATTAAACACAGTGGGAGCATCACTTTTGATGAGATTGCCAGCACTGCCTGACAAATGAAACACTGGTCTCTAGCTAGAGAACTCTCTGGGACCATTAAAGAGATTCTGGAGACTGCTCAGTCTGTGGGCTGCAATGTTGATGGCTGCCACTCCCATGGCATCATAGATGACATCAACAGTGACACAGTGGAATGCCGGTTAGTTAAGAAGTAAAAAGGAAATATATTTCAACAAAAGGTCATTGACAACTAAAAATAATAATAATAAAGATTATATTTTCTGACTGTTATATAGAAAAGCTATTGACTTCTGTATATTTATTTTATGACCCAACATACAATTTTCTTGCCCTACCACTATGGGTAGAATGACTAAGATACGGTCAAATAATACTGGTGAGGGTAGGCATCCTCATCTTGTTCATTCAATGGGAAGTGTCTCCAGTGTGTCACATAATGTACGTTGGTTTCAAAGCACCGCTCTTTATCAGATTAAGGAAGTATCTATATATTCCTAATTTACTATAGTTGTCATCTCTCTCTTTCAGAGACAGGGTCTCACTCTGTCACCCAAGCTGGAGTGCAGTGGCACAATCAGAGCTCACTGCATCCTTGAACTCCTCGGCTAAAGTGATCCTCCCACCTCAGTCTCCAGAGTAGCTGGGGCTATAGTTGTACTCTTTCTAACAGACACGTTTCATTTGAGACTTCGCTCAACAGTGATTTTCAACAATAATTTGTTATGATTTCTGTTATACAAGAATAAACTTAATAATGGTAGCCTCTACCTTTATGATGGCAATGATGTTAATGATGATGATAATGAAGAAGAAACTAAAAGCTACATCTCTTGAGTATGTGGCTTTCCTATAAACAAATTTTACAAATAAGCCACTAATACTGCAGTAACAACAAAAATGTTTTAAGTCAAACAAAAGCAAATCAACTATTTTTTCACATTCACAATTAGGTCACCTTCTTAACCTAATAAATAGCAAACAAAACAATACATCTAATATTGTCATGGGACAGCCATCTAGCAGATCACAAGAAGACAATTTCTGGATATGCATAAAATTTAAAACACTGAAGATTGTCTATAATTCTGTGAGTATAAAAATTATCTTGCTGGGCGCGGTGGCTCACACCTGTAATCTCAGCACTTTGGGAGGCTGAAGTGAGAGGATTGCCTGAGCCCATGGGTTTGAGACCAGGCTGGGCAACTTGGTAAGACCTCATCTCTACAATAAATCAAAAAATTAGCCAGGCATGGTGGCTCGTGCCTGTAGTTACAGCTATTTGGAAGGCTGAGGTGGAAGGATCG